TCCTCCTCCTCCTGTCTATCCTTACCTTCCTTCCTTCTCTCTCTCCCTTCCTTCCTGCTGGAATCCTTCTCTTTTTCTTCCATCTTTTTCTCTCGTAACTCTTCCTGCCTCCTTCCCTCTTTCTCATCTCCCTCCCTCCCTCCCCTTTCTATCCATCCTCATCTTCCTTCCTTCTTCCCCCCCTCCCTCCCTCCCTCATCTTTCTCTCTTTCTTCCACCTTTTTCTCTTGTAACCCTTCCTTCCTCTCCCTGCCTCCTTCCCTCTTTCACATCTCCCTCCCTCCCTCTCTCCCTCCGTACGTTAACAAGAAATCACAATCCCACCCAGCATCCGGCTCTGTTCTCCTAAGTTGCAAGAGAGAAAGGGAAAAAAACAACAACGCCATTTCTGGTTTGGGTGTCGTTGTCCACTCCCTGTTAGCGCCTCGTTGTCTGACCATGGAATTAGACTTCCAGCTGGACCCTCCCCTTCCCTCCCTCCCTTTCCCACCTGGTCCCTGAAAACTCAGCCGCCTCCCTTCGGCAGCGGGAATGGTCCCCCCTTCTTGCTCACCCACGAGACTCTCTCCCGCTTCCGCCACTCAGGCCAACCCGCCCTGCCTCCTGTCCACCGTCCAGTACATCAGCAGCTTCTACGCCAACTCTCTCACCGGGGAGGAGTCGTACTGGTGGATGCAGTTCACTGCCGCCGTGGAGTTCATCAAGACCATCGATGAACGGAAGTGAGCCCAAGGCCGGCCGTTTCTGCTCCGGGGAGCCCCGGGGCCCACGGGAAAAAACTCCCCACTGAATGTAATTTCTCCTGGTTCCCTCTTGGGCCAGAGAGATCCCAGCGACGGACGGACGAAGGAGAGCCTCAGTTTCCCTCTTGTGTAAATACGGTATTAATCCGACTAATAGGGTGCTTTGGAGAATGACTTGGATGTGTTTCTCATATTATTATTATTAATTATTATTATTATTTTGTTGTATCCCAAACAAAAGATTTCCCCCTGCTGCTTTTTTTCGTTTAGAAAACTAGCACCGTTTCCACCCAGATTCCAAAGGGACCATGTTTTTATAAGGAATCCTGGAATCTTCCCAAGGTCTCTCTCTCTCCCTCTCTCTCTCCCTCTCTCCCTCTCCCTCTCTCTCTCTTTTTCCCTCTCGTCACTGGGAATCTCAACGGATGAGGTGGCCTGTTCGTTTCCCTGGGGTAGTTTTACTGTTCTTTCTCAAATAACAATAATTATTATTTTTTTTAAAAAAAAGCTTGCACTATTTTAATTTGTCAACTGGGCCGTTCATGTTAATATTCTGATGTGGGATTGGAGAAGGGGGCATTTGGCGAGAAGAGGACCCCTCCCAGCCGGAGGGAAGAAAGAGCTTGCAGGGAGCAAAGAAAGAAAATCCCGGAAAGGGAAACCTTTAAATCATGGTCAAATCACACAAATGTAAAAAAATTTTTTTTGCCATTGGACACGTTCCTCCAGATCAATGCTACGACTGCCTTCTGAATTTAAAGCTGATTTTTTTTCGCCCCATTCCTTCTTTTGGAAGGAGAGTGGGGGGGTCAAAGCCCGAGTATTTAATATTTAATGTGAAAGATTATTATTACTCAAACTGGAAGTTACCCAAAGTTTCTTCTTTTCCCCCTTGTGTTTAGTTTTCTCTTTTTCTTTTCCAAACGAAATTCGAAAGAGCATTTTAGTATTTGTCTGTTGCACAAGGCGGGAAGTTCGAAACAAAAGGGATTGTGGCAAAGAAATGGTAATACACACACACACCACACAAATAAAAGTCTCGATACCTTTGCTTTTTTTTTTTTTTCCTTCTGGAAGATTGTGTATAACTGTACAAATCCCAAATGAACTTTTTTCCCCCTCCCCATGACGAAACCAGAAACTGTAATATATATTTTGATTATTCATATTAAAAAAAGGAAAAAAAAAAACCATTCAGCAGGTGTTTGGGCAAAGTCTTTCATGATTGGGCGCTTCGTGCGCGTTTCATTTCGAGCGTCCGAGGCTTTTAACGTCCAACAATCCGATTTGCCACAATTGGAAGTGAACAACGCCCGCCGGGAGAAAAAAAGGGGGGGGGGAGGGGGACTTGCTACAATTTTTCACACCATCGTTGCGACGCCGATCCAAATTCGGATGCTTGGACGCTGACTCGTATCTTCTATTAATATCTCTTTGGTTTTCTGATTTCCAACCCTGCGTGAAAACTATCCTCGCTGCTGTTATTGTATGCAATATGATGGATTTGTTTGCTAAATTTCCCTTTAATTATTCCCAGTAGGAATAGTTCGGGTTTAAGTTCTGTTGGATGTTCTGTTATCTCCTGCAACCATCTTTGTAGCTTCCGCCCAATATTTTCTGGCTTTGGGGCATTGCCACTCCATGTGAAAGAATGTTCCATCTGTCTGCTTGCAATGCCGTCTTTGGGGACATATTTGCCAATCTTGCTGGCGCTAAATGCCATCGATGGAACCTTTTATACTGGTTCTCTTTATAAGCTGTCCCGGCGTCACACAATCCCCTTTCGCAACCTTCTGACAAAGCAAAGTCAATGGGTAAGCCAGGTTTGCTTAATGACCTGCGTAACCGGCTTAACTACGGCAGGGATTTGCTTAACAATGGTCTTGTTTAGTGTCGGAAATTTTCGGCTCCGTTGCGAGGAGCCAGGAGGGGAGGAGGCTACATTCGGCTGTTTGGGGGCCAAAGCTATGCAGTAGGAAGGCACGATGACGTCACCTCGGTGCTCAAGCTCAGGAATCCTGGTTAAATATCTGCTTAACGGCTTAAAGTCAGTTTAATCCTTGGCTATGAAAAACCGTCTGGTTTAGGTTGGTGGATTTAGAGCACCACCTAGTGGCCGTAGTCTCTTACTACGCCTTGGTTAGTTTCTGCTCTTTAACTTTATATTATATTTCATAAAGGAGAAAAAAAAACCCCAAAACTAAGAGCCAAGAGAGAAAATAGAAGAAGGACTAGAAAAGGAAAATGCAATAAAATAAAAATACGGAGAGAAACAAAGATACACAAAGAATGACTTCCAATTTCTTTGACAGCAAATAGATATAAAACATAAGGTCAGCTTTTGCTCTGTAGTTGCAATCTTAAGTCCATTTTTAAAAGATCTACAAATAACAGCAGTCATGATTTCATCCTTTTTTTCTTTTTCCCATTAAAAAGTCCCAGATTAAGTTCCTGCTCTTCATTTGCTACACTTGGTTTATTCTATGAACTTTTTTAATCTCTAAAAGGAGTCCATATTGGAAGGGATGCAATGATTTGGGTTTTCTTTTTATTTTATTTTATTGAGTGATTCAATTTATATTTTATTATACGTTTCCTCTGAAACTATTCCTAGCCTGGCCTGTGTTTTCCCTCTGAAATTCAGAACGGCGGGGAATCAAATGGAGACGTGAGCAAGGAGTAGCGGCCATTGCGATGGAAAACGTACAATAGAAAAAAAACAAGGACGACGGTAATAGCGAAGCAGTTTCCTCCTTCGCACTTGAAAGTTCTCTCTTTGCAACGCTAAGCAGGTTCCTCCTTGGAAAAATTTAAAGGAAAAAACTTCACCAGTTAGAACTCTTTAGAGAAAAGGACTCCATCCATGGATGGAGAGAAGGGAGGAGGGAAGGAAAGGAAGGAAGGAAGGAGAGAGGGAAGAGGGAGAAGGGTAAGAAAGGGAAAGAAGGTTGAAAAGGAGGGAGAGGAAGAAAGGCAGGAAGGAATGGAAAAGGGAGGAGGGAGCGGAAAGGAAGATAAAAGAAGGAAAGGGGAATGGAAGGAAGATAAAAGGGAATGGGAAGGAAGATAAAAGAAGGGGAAGGAAGATAAAAGAAGGGGAAGGGAAGGAAAGGAAGGGAAGGAAGATAGAAGGGGAAGGAAGGGAAGGAAGCTAGAAGGGGAAGGGAAGGGGTTCCTTGGTGAAACCTGGAGGCCAGAGTGCCCTTTGCCATAGCTTGGCCGGGTCTTCCTCCCCCGATGACCTTGAGTCTCTTGGATCTCGATGGCCTGCATTTTTCATCCCCTTGAAGATGGCATTGGGGGACCTTTCTATCATTAAGTGGATTTACGGCAATTTCCTTATGAGTTTTCTCCCAGGGATTGTGTTATGAGAGGCACATTAAATCTCCATTAATACCTCATTATCCCACTGATAAGATTACCATGATAATGAGGCAGAAATTCTAATTGTCTCACTTCTTATTGTGCCTTTCATTAAATCATATACCTGAAAGGGTGAATTTGGGCGGGGTGCGGGGGGGTGGGGGGGAGAAATGCATATTGAGCCAACAAGCTCAGGAAGACGGCCCAGAGATGCCCAGGAGTCTCTCGTCTTTTGGGACTGGGTGCGGGGGGAGGCAGGGAAAATTTGCCCACTGGGGAAGGTGGACCACCGAGGGATGTTGAATTCGCTTGGCCCCCAACATTTTTCATGGCAGGCACTCCTTTGGTTCATTCAGAGAAGCAACTCAAGATCCTATCAAGGAAGAAGGAAGAAAGGAAGGAATGTTATCCTTTTAGTTTAGAAAAGTTTTTAATCTGAATTTTATTGGAGGGAGGGAAGGCAGGCAGGCAGGCAGGCAGGCAGGCAAGAAAGGAAGGAAGGAAGGAAGGAAGGAAGGAAGGAAGGAAGGAAGGCCATGCTTTTAGTTTAGTAAAGTTTTCAATTTGCATTTTATTGAAGGAAAGGAGGGAGGAAGGAAGGAAGGAAATAAGGAAGAAAGGGAGGGAGGGAATGGAAGGGAGAGAGGAGGGAAGAAGGAAGGAAGGAAGGTCATGCTTTTAGTTTAGAAAAGTTTTCAATCTAAATTTTATTGGAAGAAAAGGAGGACTTAATATATGTTATAAGTAGAACAAGAAGCAATGGACAAAAAGCTTATTCAAGAGACATCCAACCTAGAACTAAGAAATTCCCTCCAAGCTCCTTTCCGACTCCTTTGTTCTGTGAAACAATCTTTTCCACGCGGCTGCCCCGTAAGCCACACAGGTGCGTCCACGAGTTCGCCTTGAGCCTCCATTTTTTAAAGAAAGAGGCATCCAACCTGTTTGAAGCTGTCCAAGGATCCGTCCTGAAGCCGCTTCTCTACCTTCTGCCTGTGAGGTTTCAATAAGCCACCCCCAACTTCCATCTCACAAGATGCGGTCCCACCTGCCCAGCTCAGGTGTGACTCTGAAGTGCCTCCCCCCACCCTCACCGCTTGTCTTCCGGCTGTGCATCTCCCCGCCAGGCCTCAGGCGGGCAACCGTTTCATCCCAATCGTCTTCCGATTCCCTCGTCCAAGGCTTAATCAACATCCACCCCCTTTCCAAGTTTAAATGGGAGCATTTGTTTAATTACGTGCAAGGAACAATACATTCCGGCCATTATCTAAATCACACTTCTATTTCCTGGATGTGATTTTCATCAGGCTCCGTTTCCTTCTCTCTCCCTCCCCATTGCCAGCCTTTGCATCATTAACAGGGAAGAGTTAATGAATATAAAAGCATAAAGCCTAATTACACTTTAATTTACAATCATAATCTCATTTTGTGACTGGAGGAAATCTGTTGTGGGGGGGGAAAAAAAAGAAAGAAAGAAAGAAAGAGGGAAATTAAAAAACAAAAACAAAAACAAAAACCCACCCTAAACTTTCAAGTGAATAATAAAACCAGCCCCATCTCAGTTTTGCTATCAAATCAGAGATTTTCTGGTTTTATTTGGAGGGTTAAATTATTTGGGGGACATGGAGGAGCATCACATCAAAGCAAACTTTGCTTTGGATTCAGAAACTAAACAGGCTTCGTTATCCTTTCCTTTCCTTTCCTTTCCTTTCCTTTCCTTTCCTTTCCTTTCCTTTCCTTTCCCTTCCTTTCCTTTCCTTTCCTTTCCTTTCCTTTCCCTTCCCTTCCTTTCCTTTCCTTTCCTTTCCTTTCCTTTCCCTTCCTTTCCTTTCCTTTCCTTTCCCTTCCTTTCCTTTCCTTTCCTTTCCTTTCCTTTCCCTTCCCTTCCTTTCCTTTCCTTTCCTTTCCTTTCCTTTCCCTTCCTTTCCTTTCCTTTCCTTTCCCTTCCTTTCCTTTCCTTTCCTTTCCTTTCCTTTCCCTTCCCTTCCTTTCCTTTCCTTTCCTTTCCTTTCCTTTCCCTTCCTTTCCTT